ATAAGCGGTTATCGGGTAACTGAAAATTCAGGAATGAAAAATTTGAAGTGAGAGTTTTGAGCCGTCTGAAAATCCTGAATGGTCCTGAAGTGGTGAAAGGTCCGAAGACCCTGAAAACCACCTGTTTAGCCAGGCTGCATCCTGAAGTGGTGAAGGGTGTCCTGAAGTGGTCAAGTGAGAGTTTTGGGCAGTCTGAAAATCCTGAATGATCCTGAAGTGGTGAAAGGTCCGAAGACCATGAAAACCACCCTTCACCACTTGAGGATGCAGCCTTCCTAAACAGGTGGTTTTCAGGGTCTTTGGAACTTTCACCACTTCAGGACCATTCAGGATTTTCAGACATGAATGATCCTTAAGTGGTGAATGGTCCGAAGACCCTGAAAACCACCTGTTTAGGCAGGCTGCATCCTGAAGTGGTGAAGGGTGTCCTGAAGTGGTGATGAAAAATACGACTGTTGTTAACCTTCTCTCCCCCCCCCCAGCCTGCACTACCCCTATTTTTTTTTTCCCTTTCCTGCACGTATCCCGCTTTAGTCCTGCGCAGACTCCGATAACTGCTTTTTTTTTTTTTTCATTTTCTTTAGAATTACAGACAAATCAGAGGGGTTGGAAGGGTGCAAAGTTGCAACTTGCAAACACTTACCTACAGTCGAGTATGCACGTACCAGCGACGACAGTCAAGGCATCCGTCCAGCGACGTGGCAACATGGCATCAAAAGAACACAACAATGAATTTGAGTGCAACATCCACAACAAACAATGACGAACACAACAGAAAACCAGTCTATTAAATTCAATCAACAATCAATTGGCACAAGGATATTCGACGCTATTATTCGGACATTGCTAAAACAAAAATAAGAGTTTGAAACTCGGAACTACGAAGTTTAATGTCTGAAAGTATGAAAGACGACCATTGTCAGAACACTGCACTTGGAGCATCGAATACCTAAACTCGTAGATCGAACGGCTTCCCTCTACTCAGCCTTTGCTCGATCTTCCTCATCGTCGTCCTCGAACTGGGCCCCTCCCTCACTTCCTTCTCCGTCTGTGCCTTCCCTCCCGCTGGGCTGAGATGATGAGGCCGCCAATTAAGAACTTGAGTCGCTGGATGTGGACGAGCCTTCGGGTTCGTCCTCTTCCGGACTTCGTTCCAGGACATCCAAGTCGTCGTCGTCACTTACAACGACTGACTTCTTGGCCTTCCCTCCACCTGCGCTCTTTGTGGCAGCTTTCGTTGTCGCTCTGGCTTTGGCCTTTGCGGCTCTGTCAACAGTAGCTTTTGCTGCAGCAGCTGCAGCAACAACCTTGTCTTCAGCCCCCTGCGCCTTGCGTGCCGCCTGTTCTGCCAAAGTTGGACGACCCCTCTTCGGTGGCGGCTGTTCTTGCTGAACAGCCTTCCTCTTCCGACTCTGCGCGGGCGGATCATCATCCACCACCGTTTGTTTGCCCTTGCCTTTCCCACTCTTTTTTCTTGGCGCCTCGTCCCAGCCTTGCACCCACGTGCGTGCCCGTCTCGCTTCCATTGCGAGAGCGTAGCCCGCCTCTGTGTACAACTCTCTAGGCTCGGGCAACTGACAACCAGATCTCCTGCGCAACTCTTGCTCGCGGTACTTCCCAAGCTTTGTGCACTCGTGCCAGTCGCGCTGCCTTGTACCAACAAGTTTAGTCTCCTCCTCCTTGATCAGCCTGTCGTCAACTTCGTCATTGCGCACGAAAGTCCTCCGCATCGGGATCTCGTCTCTGTCATCATCGAAGTCGACCTCCACAACCTCCTCGCAGTCGACATCCTTATTGACCCGCTCCAACCACCGCACATACCACTCCTCCATCTCCTTGTCCACCGGCACGTCGTCCGCCCACGGGATGTGGGTGTCATCTCCCTCGCCGCTCTGAATCCTCCTCAGGAGCCGAACATTCCAGCTGATGTACACGAGTTTTGCCTTCCTCTCTCGCAGCAACTTCGTCCGCCTCCTTCCATAGATTAGCTCATGCAAGCTCCAATTCCGCTCGCAGGCGGCAGAGGAGCTTGCCTGGCCAAGCAATTTGATCTCTTATGGTGCGAGGAAGTCGTGCTTCGAGCCGATCGCCTCCCACCACAAAGTTGGCAGTTGGTGGTTGGCTTGTTCGCAAGCCTGCTCCGTCGAGAACCCTCCCAAAGCATTGACCCATTGGTCGACTTGGAAGCTGACCACGTGGAGCCGATGTCGAGGCATCTAGGAGGACTAGGAGTACAACTAGATGTTGAACCCTGCACGAACCTCCGGGTCGTGATCTGTGTTGTGCATCCAATGCTCAGGATCCAGAAAGGTTGCAACGCAATGTAGCTCGCTTGTCAAAAATGCCCAGCGATGCATGAGGATGCGCTCCACTGCCTCGTGGTCCTCCTCTGACAAGCATTCCAGGGCACGCAGGTCCTGCACAACCCGATCCATCTTGAAGTAAACCTTCGAGATGATTGTTCCTTGCCCATCCACCAAACGGAGCAGCTCCACCACTGGCTGCATCACATGAAGCGCCTTCTGCACATTGCTAAAAAAAGTCGCCCTTGTCGAGGACGATGGCTATTACCTCGTGCATTGCCAGTAACTGGTCATTCCTCACCATCTTGTCCACCCATCCCGCATTGCACATGCAACGATCAAGAGCATTCCGCAATTCCTTCAGCGACTGCAGCATCTCGAAGTTGGTTGCGAATCTGGTTGTTGCTGGCCGCTTCAACTTTGTCTTCGGGGAGTAATGGTGGAACAAAGCCCTTGCCTTGTCCACATTCGAGAAAAAGCGGCTAACCTTGTTGTTGGCGTCGACGACCTGCGCCATCCAAGGCATCTCCTTGTACATGTCCTCCAGCGCCAGGTCCAGCGCATGTGTCGTACAACCGACACTGAAGATGGTCGGATAGGCGGCCTTCACCATCTTCCCTGCCTTCACACACACACTCGCCTTGTCCATGACAACGCCAACGATTGCATCCACCCCGATTTCCTCAATCACCTCGTCCAACACTCGAAAATACGTTGCAGAATCCTTCTCCTTGCCCTCCATGCAGACGGAGTTCCAGAACACGGTACCGGCGGGCGAGGACACCATCACATTCAAATGCGGTTTGTTGCGGCGGTCCGACCACTCGTCCATCTGCAACATACGCTCCGTCTTCTTCCATTTCATTATCATCGCATGGACCTCCGCCCCTACCCGTGCATACTTTGCGCCCAACCTCTTTGTTTGCTGCTCGTCCCTTCTGCAGGGCATCCATGTCGGATGGGCCGTCCTCACGGCCTGGAGGAACTCGAGGAAGTAGACGTCCTCCACCAAGTTGAACGGCTGGTTGGTGCATATCAGAAACCGGTCGAGAAACCGGCTGGTCCGCTTATTCATTTTGATCACACTGTCGGCTTCCTCGATCACAATCTGCCTCAACGGCCTCCCCGAACTTGGCTTCTCGCCAGTGACGCCCGCACCACTGACCTGTGAGCTGGGAAACTGTGGTACATGACTTGAGGTTGTCGGCATGTTGCTGGGCCCAACTCCTCCTGCGGCTGTCGGCATGTTGCTGGGCCCAGCTCCTCCAGCCTCGCACTGCAGCAACATGCGAGCAATGCACTTCGCCTCTGACATTCCAGCTTCCCTCCTCGCCCTCTCCTCCACTTACAATGGGACAATGACATTGTCAAGGGTGCACCTCTCCAAGAAGTGATCCCAGAGCCTTGTGGCAGACCCGGCCAACCGCAAGTCGCAGTAGTTACACCTCCGGTACTTCAATCCGTTTTTTACATTCTTTCCCTGCGTCCCCTCAATCATGAAATGTTTCTTGATCTCCGCCTGGAGGTGTTTTAGCGCTGATGACTTCGACATCCCCTGCACGCTACGAAACGCCCGCGGACGCGTCCTTGGGGTGGACCTCGGAGGGCGCCGTATATACGACCTCGGAGGGCGACCGTATATACGGCCTCGTCCGTGGCCGACCTCGTCCACGCCGCGGACGTGAATTTGCTGCATTTTTCCTGAATTAAACAATGGGTAAATATATATATATATATATATGAGGTTGTAGGGATTTTTAATCCGTACAACCTTATATATATATTTTTGGAAACAGATAAATTCTTAGAATTATAAAAAAATAAAAAACAGAAAAGGTGGAGAAGAGAAATTAAAAAAAAAAAAAAAAAAAGTTTTTTTTTGGGGGGTGGG